ACAATCTATGTGAGCAGTTAAGATACAGCTGCTGTTATGCACTTTAATACTTTAACTTGAGAGAAAAAACAGTGTCCAGTTTAGGTTACAGACTGAAAGTTCTTTCTTAGACTATGGCTGGGCAGGTAATGACTGAAACACAAAATCACAGAGGGGTAAAGGTTGGAAGGGACCACCACTGGGGTTACCTGGTTCCTGCTCAAGCAGGATCATCCTAGAGCACATTGCACAGTATGAAATACAGGTGGTTCTTGAGTATCTCTTGTGAGGGACACTCCAGAAAGGAAACAAGCTTGTTTCAGTGTGTGGAATGCTGTAGCTGTTTTTCATCAATATTTGGACTGAAACCTAATTTCCCTTAAAAGAAACATCTGAATATGTAAGGAAAGGTATGTTAATATTCTCTGTATTTATTATTTTATTTGATGTTTCCTTACCATTTGAAGAATGCACAAAAGAAAATTACTAAAACACTTCCTATCTGTTTTATTTTCTTCAATTGATTTTTTAATTAACTGAGAGTTCTTCCCCTGGTTCAGTTGACAGGTGTGTGGAGAGGTGGGGGGAAATATATTTCTACATCAATTTAGTGTATAACTTTGCCACGTGTTAATGTGTTGCTCACATAAATAAATGCTTCATGTTCAGCATGCCATGGCCGTAGCAGTCATTGACACAGTACTCCCAGTTTTACTGATGGTGGACCTGAACAGCACAACATCATCTCTGCCTACTAGGGCTTCACTGGCAACACAGCTGCTGTAAATGTCCCCCCTCACCCCTTCACAAGGAGTCTTGGACTTTTGTAGGTGAACTTCCCTTCTCCAAGCTTCACCTCACAACGCACTGACACTGAAAGGGGTTGAGAAGGAGCCAGTTCTTTTATCATCTTTCATGGGTGAAACACTTTATGCTGGCAGAGCAGAGAGAGCTGCCCTCCTTTTTGAGTAATGTTGATAGTCAAAAAGGTGGAATTTTGTTCCCCAAAAAAGGCCAGCAGGGGAGGTGGGGGTGTCTTAAATCCCCTACCCTTTATAGAAGTGAAAAGGTACAAGAAAGATAGATAGTTTCTAAACAGGATTGTCACCCACAGTGCCACCACAGTGCAGCTTTGCTTCATGAGGGTTCTCCATTCCCTGCCAGGCCAGATTCTTCAAAGCTGCCTGACTCCCCCCTCTTTCCTAACAGTCCTCCTTAGGAAAGTGCTGGATCCACTTCCTGTGCAGAGAGGAGTGAGACTGTTGGCTCAGGGACCTCTAAAGCTGCAGGAACAGTTATGTAAAGATGAAAGCAGCTTTCACCTCTACCACTTCAGACATAAAATGCAGTATATGGTCCAAGCTCATCCTGTTTTTAAAACCCTTCCAAAAATAGTGGTATTGAACCATACACAAACATTCTCATCCAAAACAAGATTAAAAAGAAAGAATGTACTGCTATGCAGTGGGGGTGGTGGGATGTCTCTGTTGCTACTTCACTTGCATCTACCACCTGCTTATCAGTGACCTTGTAGTAGGATGGGAAAAGCACCAGCCTTCTGGGATGAAACTTGGAGCAAGTGACATCTGACATAACCTAAGAAAAGCCTTGCCACGTTCTCTTGGCAGTTTTTCGATTGTTCCTTCTTTAAATTTTGTATCATCTTTCTTTCTCTCTTCTCCTTCCCTTCCCTAGAAGTCCAGATGGAAAGTGTTAAATGTGAAATGTACAATCACTATTTTGGTAGGGAGAATAATAAAGAACCTAAGTTGACTCTTGATAGCTAATTCCTTCATATCTCTAAGTTGTCACTCATCACTGAAATACAGTAACTCAGTCATTCTAAAATCCTGTATTTGAGGCATTGATCACATCCTTCCTCCTAGATCACTTTAATCTCAAGCAGATGGTCCCAATAGTTTGAGTGCAGGAGTTGGAAGATGTGCCATGAGCCATCTCCCCTCTCTCCCCCTCTGCATGCTCACAGTTTAACTGATTGGCATAACTGGAACAGACCCAGCACTTCCTGACAGTCATCACTTTATGAAGTCACTTTCCTTTTTTTTTTAATCTGAAAATAGAATAATTCTTAGTTCACTTAAGAAAGAGCTCCTGTTATAAAGGCAAAAATAGACAACACACACACTGTTACAGCCTGAACAACAGGAACTGACTTCCAGTTATTTTCTCCATCACATCAAGAGATTTAACTGGCCAGTATTTCAAATAGATACAATAGTAAAAATCAGGAGCTTCATCATAGATACTACAGCTACTCCCCAGAGCATGCAGAGGGACAAGAATGAAGGAAACAGGGAGCTTGCCAAGCTGTTATATGATGAGAAGTAAAGAAAGGGTATTGCCAATGCCACCCCAGCTCTGCTTCACTGTCCTACAAAAAATGAAGCACATTTTCTGTAACACAGCTTAGAAAGTTCATCTGCTCCCAACTTCTACCTGGTACACAGAGAAGGGAAAAGGCTTCCCTTCCCTTTTCTCCAGTTCTCCCTCACATTATCCAACACAGTTAACTGAGGCAAGTGTCTTAGGAGCATGGGACAGAGCACTCTTGGGCAAGACAATTGTCCAACAGAGGCAGGAACTAGTACCTCATCTCTGCTGGCAGCAGAAGGACAACAGCAGCCCCTGCAGAAATCAGATCTTCACAGCTGGCATGAATGTGCAGATTTATTCCCAATCCAAGACTAATAAAATAATGCAGGAGAATCATCCTCATTTCACTACCTGTGTGAGGTAGTGCAAGAGGGAAATAGACATCAAATAAGCAGCCTCATGGATGAGGGAAATAAAATGATCTCCCATGAACCAATCAAGGTGCAGTAAACCAGGTGCACTAAATAAGATATACCAGGAAAATAACTTCATCGTATGAATAGAAAAATACACAGAGATAACTGATTTTACTCTATGTAAAAATTGGGATTTATTCTTTGTGAGATTTTGTTCAAACTCAACAATTAAAAGTAGTTAGACAAATACCCACAATTCTACTGGAAGCTTTTGGCTTTCTTTGCCATCACTGACAGGGTGGTGTAAAATTAAAATTTTGGGAAGTCTGTTTTATTTAAAATTGCACTTAATTATTTTACAGGTTACTAAACTGCAATGAACCCACACCACCCTAAATCCATTAACATGTGATTATTAAACTTCCAGTGAAGGCCTAAAAACTGCTTCAGTATAGGAGTGTTTTCTTTCAGTGCATGTTGGTTTAAGTGAGTTATTAATTAATTCAAGGTTGAAAAACCAATTGGGAGTTTAAAACAGAACTTCTTTGTGTCCAGTTTGTTTTTACATTCCTAATCTCATCTTCCTCCACCAAGGATAAATCTTCCTTATTCCAGATAATGACACATGTCCTGCTTCCACCTTTCTGCATTTTGAGCTGAATCAGAAGCATCTTGTTCATGAATGAAGGCTTCCTGCTACTTTTCCTGGATTTTCAGAGTTAGGGAATGAAGCATTTTTGAGCATGGAGTAACCAGTCAGATAAGGTAGAGAAATTTCTTGGATATCAAGAGTTTATAGGTCATCAGGAAATTCATGTGGGAAAAAGCCTTAAATACTGTGTCCCAGACCTATTTTCCTCCACGTCAAGGATGGTTCTTGCTTAGTTTCAATGAGCAAAGGAAACTAAATGCTTAAAATAAAAATTATATATATTTAAAAAAATTAGTGGCAGAGAACATAAGGTTCCAGGAACACTCATCTGACTCCAGAAGCCAAAAATACAAGTGGATTAAAAATAGAAAGATCAAATATAACAGGTTTTGATACTGCATTTCTTCTGACAAACCTACTCAACAACAGTGTATTTCAAATGGATTGGGAAAAGCAGAGGCCTAGAAAGAGAATTCTTGTCTCTGAACAAAAAGGTGCATGTCTAGACAGCTGGAACTGTGCCTGCACATTAATTTTTGCAAAAGCAATTAAAGCTGGCCACTTTGGAAATAGATTTCATGCTCTGAAGTTTACATGCAATGGTGCTACACATAAGAAATTACTTTTTTCATAATCTCTACAATTCACAATTTAAATCACTCCTTAATGGAAACTAAATCTAATTTTGCCAAGGAAATGAATGATGCACAGATGTCTCCTCGGCTGCAATCAACTCTCAACAGACACAGCGATCAGACCAAGCGTTCTCTCACAGAATAAAGCATAATCTGTTTCATGCTGACCAGTGGCTTTTGAGAAATGCTTTTGTTACTGAAAAAAAAGTCAGGAGTAGAATTCAGTGAAGTCACCCACTGGTCTAGTGGAAGGTGTCCCTCTCCATGGCGGGGGGGTTAGAACTAGATTGTCTTTAAGGTTCCTTTCAACCCAAACCATTCCCTGATTCTACAACAGGAAGCAAAGAAAAGCACAGCACAGCTTATGGGATGCTCAGCAGTTACTTCAAAAGCAAATCCCCATCGGCACTAGAACTGTTACTGTAGGCACACATTCAGAAGGCTCTAAAAGCTTCCTTTGATCCTCGATTAAAAACCAACTTCAAAACAAAAACCCATTAAAGTCCTTCGAAGAGTCATTCTGCTGAAGTTAACCAGATAGCTGTATCCATATGCTTTAGGCAAAGCTACTACTTTAAAGCAAAGGCATCAAACTTCAGGGGCTCTTCATTCCATGTCTATGCAAACCCTGGAGGCCACAGTAAGAATTCATCCTGCTTTCACTATCACAACCTTAAAGCCAAAGACAAGTGAAGTTAAAACAAGCCACCATCATCTAATGCATAATGGTAAAAGCACTAATGAGATTAGGATGCCTCAGAAATGAACTGCAATCACCCCTCTTCCAACTCAGGACAGTAGGAATTAAATGACTGGAAACCCATGAACGCAATTCTGCTCTGAATGTGAAATCAGTCAGGGAGCAGTGAGTTAGATTCCTCTATGTCAGCATGTAGAAAAGAACTATCATGCCTAACAAAACAGAGCTGAACTTACCAAATAATCACATTGCAGGAAAAATTTTGCAACAAAACCACCAGTCTGTTGTTATGTAAGAAAACATTTCTTAGGCCTTTATTTACAAAAGCTTTAAAAACAAATACCCTCTGTTATGCAAATTACTTGTTTAAAAAGGACCGCCCAGTTACATCATCATAATTCAATGAGAAAAAGGTGTTTGATTTTTTGCTTTTAAGTACAAGATAAAACAGAGTAATTGGCGAACATGTGGAGATTTTTCTGCCATTGATTTCCGTGTCAAGCACACGTACGCGCGCACACGCACAGGCACACAATGTCACGCATTCCGTCATTCCAGGCTAGTAGTTAGCTATTCAATACCCAAAATCCTTCCTGCACAACTGCTCTGTATACATGCTATGCAGAGTTAAGAACATACTTTAGGGTCCTTGAAAACAATATATCTAAAATATATTGTAAGATATACTCAAAAATAAACTAGCATTACACTCCTCAGGTAACTTTATTAGCTGGAAGTTATTTATATTTTGTTGTCTTACAACAAATATCTTTAACATCTGTCTTTGTAACAACTACAAAAAGGCATGATTTAATTGTCCTTCTAATTCAATAATTCAATTAAATAGAATTTTTCAGATCTTTGGGGTTCATCTTCAACTAAACTGACTTACAAAAATCATGAAATCAAGTACATAATAAATATGACTTCATAAAAAATATCTGAGGTGTACATTACTAGGATAAAAGCCACAAGGTTAATCAAGGGAAATGTGCCATTACAAGACTCCTACTTTTCCATTATCCTTCAATTCTCAGCTTAATGGCAAAAAGGCTAAAGTCATAGCTGTTCTTCTCCTGAAGGGTGTAAAGCTGTTTTTTCAAGCCTCTTTCCCCCATCACAGAGCAGTTTTAAAGCAGCAGGCCAACCAGCAGTTGACATGTGCAGTATGTGTTGAGAGATGACCAAACACTAGCAAAGTAAGAGCAATTACTATGATTCAGTAGTTTGTTTTGCTTGAACACACAGAGATTATGCAGCAAATAAGTCCCGTTGTGTGGGTTGAGATACCAAGAAAATACAGCTTGAAGCTGCTGAACTTGGCAGATGATTGTTTTCTAGCTGAGGGCAAAAGAAAAAAACAAAACAAACTTTAAATAAAACAGAGGATCTGAGTCAGAGTCGCTCTCTAAAGTGCAAATCTGATGGTCCACAATCTTGAATAGCTAAAACGCCTGCATACTGGAAAGAACAGACATGAAGGGGGAAGTTAATTATAATCAGAGCCAATTAATTTAGAGAAGGGAGGGGAAAGACAAAAAACTGGAAGAATGATGTAGGCAAGTTTACCAGAATATTCATTATGATTCAACTTTCCCCTTCTCTCTGCCACACTGATTCTATATATGCTTCTTTACAAATGGGCTTGTTAAGAGACCAAAATGTAACCCAGAAAATTTTACGTATCAATATTAAGATCAAAATCTGTGATAGGAACAGTCAAGTTTAGTACATAGAAAGGCAGAAAAGAAAGTGTGCTGAGAAAGGGGGGAAAAAAGCCTTAATTGTCCAAGGGGTTCAACCAGAGATAAAACCTATATACAAGCATGTGGAAGTCAAAAAGACGGCCTTTCATTTCATGTCATGACTGTTTGTTGGCTTCTTCTTCATAAGCGTTTCCTGTGCCATTCTGTACATAAGATGACCCCGAACCAAGACCATATAAGTGGCCACAATATTTGGCATCGTCAATGTGATCTTCAAAGAACATCTAAAAAGTGAAGAGACATGAATTACTGCAAAAGAAAAGGTTTCGTTTCAAAAGAACTGTAGAAAGGCTTTAAAATTACTTTCTTTTTAAATATCAAATCCCAAGGTGCAAAAGATGATATAATTAGTATAATAAGAGACTTAATCTCAACACATTATCACAATGTGCTATATGACACAATTATTTAAATCTGTCAAGAAATACAATCAATCTTCCTGTGCACCTCTCCCAATTAAATGGCCAAATGCAATGTTTTCACAATTTTGTATTATTAGTCATCACTCATCTATCTGCAAGAGCAACAAAGACATTTCTCCATCTGATTTCTGTGGTGCTTCTTACAACAAGCATATGCTTAGCATCCATCATCAGTGCCCATTCCCTTACCTCCCCTCAGCGTGGAGTTTTCATCATACTCTGTCTTGGAATAGAGATGTGCTGATTTGTATGATATAGATTTGATGGTGGGGAAGATGAGCACAAAACCAGAGTTTAGAGAAATGCAGAAAGATGCATTTTCAGCTCCTCACAGAGGAAGACTTAACTTAATGAGGAAGAGCAAAATTTTGTACCAAGACTGCATTTACATATTACAAGTCCAAATTACAAATGGAACCTTTCAGTGGAAGACAAAATAAAGGCCATAATATTCTGATACCCTGCCTTTCAGACAGGTTTTCAAGCAGAAAATCACAAATTATCTTGTCAAAATAGTAAGACACACATACACGAACATTTTTCACCCTAAAACCTTCCCAGCAATCCTGGACACTCCAGTGGTTCCCATTCTGAGTCATCATCAATACCAGAAATCTAAGACAGGCAGAAATATGCAGGGACAGAATGGATGCAATACACAATCTAAACATGCAGACCTGTATATACCACATAGGTCAAAACTTCTCCCTTCAAGCTTTGCTTTTAGCAGCACAGTCAGGATTGAAAATTCTGTACTGTAGGAATCAGAGACTGTAATTAAGCTTTGCAGCCCCAGCAGTTCCTAATGAAATAAAACAGGTAGGAAGAGCCTAAAATAACAACTCTACCCTTGTAGTAGCATTATTTAAGTATTCCTGATGGAAAGAAAAGGATCAGTAATTTTTTTGGCTGGCATTCCAAGACCCAGCAAGCAAGCTGTATCTCTGTCACAGCAATTAGTGACAAAATTCTGTGCCTCAAAAAGCACTATAAAGTGAAGTCTTTTTACTCAGAAATACATTTTTAAACACTGAACTCTGATAAAAAGCTTTAAAAATCTACATTAAATTTATTTCTCTGTGCTTAGTACTGTGTTCTTATTCAGAAATGCTTTATTTGCAAAGAGTATTTGAGTACTGAATTCATTATCAGTCCATGTCTGTTGGCTTAATTAAGCAAGTGTGTTGCCCTAAAAAACCCTCAGATATTTCTACTTCTGGTAAAAGCTTATAGTAAATAAATTCAACCACCTAGTTTGCCGTTAACACAAACTGCATCTCATTAAAGAAACTATCATGGGTTTGGACCTTTACTCTAGAAAACTAACTTGAAAGGCTGTATCTTAAGCATGATTATTATATGCTTCCCTTCATTTGCTTTGGATCTTCAAATTCAAGAGTGAGGTTTCACAATATTAGGCAGACAGCAGGTAGCTGCACTGGCCTGGATCATACCAGAAACATATTCCTTTTTATTGCATCTGCAGCCCATGACCTGCCTGACAACTGCAACTGTTCCAGCAGAAGCAGAACAGAGTGCTAGGATGAGCAAACCAGCCCAAACCATCATTCTTTATTATTCAGCTGCTGCGTCTCTAGTATTTGTCACAATCTCGTGGTCATTTTCTCCTTCATACAGAAGGTTGGATTCCAGAAGGTAGACTTCAGCATATAGTACTTAACATGATTAAATGATGAGGTTTGATATTGCCATCTGTTTTGACATGGTAAATGACACTGAATTGCTGGAAGAATGCCATGTTCTGATGCACTGGCATTTGTTCAGTGCAACTGCTTTCCAGAAGAGGCCTGTTCAACATTTCATTGTTCTGCTAATGCAAAACATCCTAATGTTTTCCTGTTGTATGCAGACAAGTAGCAAGGAAATGTGAAGCCTGTAAGACCTGACTGTCTTTGCTGTAACCTTGAATTAACTACTGACCTTTAGAACCTTAGTTAAACTGAGCTTCACTCAATGGCAGGGAAAAAGAAATCCATGGAAATTCTCCAAAGCAGATTGGAAGTCATTATTTAATATACCTCTAGGCTGAAAGTTTAGCTAGAAGTGGTTCATCAAGACTCCTTCCCCACCTCTCAGCCTGCCACAAGCAGCAGTACACACCAGCTGGATGTTACACTGAGCAAAAGCTCTAAAAAAAAAAATTTGACTTGAGTACAGTCACCCAAAAAGGAGTCTGGCTTCAGCAGTTCATAAATCCCTACAGCAGTCACCTAAAAAAAGGCACCCTGCAAAACAGGTGAGGAAAAAATACCCTGAAACAAAACTTCAGAAAAAATCCAGAAGTCAGGCCTAGGCTGGAATTGGGAAGAAATATTCACTCACAGCAGCAAAGCAAAGAGTCAGTAAGGCTGGTTCACACTTACTCAGGGCAAAATACAGGTGGTCTCATTTTTGTCAAGAAAGGATTGACCCCTGAAGCCCTTCAGAGACCTCCTTAAAATACCACAAACTTATTAGAATCAGCAATGCTGTGTGACTATCACAACACATTACTATCATGGAAATAAAAACAGTATGTCCACCTACTTCTCTCATTTTGAAAAAGGCCATTCCTGTGAGTAAAGAATCGGATCCTGCCTGATGCTGTGGTCCTATCCTTTCCAGCTCTAACTGCTCAGCCACTTCTTGTAACCCACCCTGGAAAACAAAACATTTTTGTTAAAGGCTGAAAAGTTAAATTAGAACACGGAACAGCTATATTTGGGAAAATCTGTTACACAGGCCATACAACCTTAGGCGTATTTTAATATCTGCACAGTAGCTGAAACAGACATTATACTAGATAAATGCATACAAGAAGAATCAAAGTTTCCCTATCAAACAGTATTAATATTCTCTGTCAGTATTGACTAGATGAAGCAGTATGTGCAACCAACAAAACTAGTACTCCTTATGTTCCAGCTTCTCCAGTAACCAGATGTCATTACTTAACAATTCCTTTAAGGTGACTGTTGATACGATGCTTTAAAAGGACAGACTACAAGCCTGTAGAGAACACACACCAAAACTGCAAATCTATCTTCTCTAAAAGGTACAACTTCTCCAGTTTTGAAGTAAATTTTCTTTTCAATAAGCTTATGTGAAAAATTATCCCCTTAACTGCAAAGTGACTAAATAAACATCATTTTAGTGTCCTCTCCAAAACAGTAATAGCTTCTACATGTGAGAGCAAATCTGAGATATGCATCCTCCAAAAACAAAAACCCACAACACCTAGGAAAGCCTGTGTTCCTTTCTTGCTGGTTGGTGGGGATCTAGCTGCTATGTTGTTGACCACATCAACTGGAATCTAACAACATCCTTCTTGCCATTTTCCTCCTAAAATCTGAATATCCTGGGTAGATCCCTTGACCTGAATTTGCTTTATGGAAAAACCAGCCTTCAGGGCGATCTGGATTATTCTCTCCCCTTTCTCAAAAACCTCCTCTGCCATGTTCCCCCATACAATAATGTCATCTATGTACTGCAAGTCTTCTGGAGCCTCGCCCTTTTCCACTGCAGTCTGGATCGGTCCATGGCAAATGATGGGGGCTTTGTTCCCACTCCTGGGGCAGTTGGTCCCAGGTGTACTGGATGTTCCTCCAGGTGAAGGTAAACTGTGGCCTGCACTCTGCTGCCAAAGGAATGGGAAAAAAATGCATTAGCAATATCAGTGGTGGTACCACTTTGCTGCCTGGGACTCCAGTTCATACTGAAGTTCTAGCATATCCAGTATAGTGACACATAGTGGTGGTGTGACTTCATTCAGGCCATGACAGTCCACTGTCAATAGGCCATATAGGATTTTTAAAGGGTGAGCACATCTTGCTGACCACTCCCTGGCTCTCCAGTTCACGAATCATCTCATGGATGGAGGTCATGGAGTACCTGGTCAGTGCAGTTTTGTTGACAGTGCATTGCTGTGGTAGAGATTGGTACCTGCTGTTCTTTGACCCTCAGCAATCCCAAAGCACAAGGGTCCTCTGAGAAAGGAGACAAGTTATTCAGCTGTCTAATTTCCTCTGTCTCCACTGTAGTTATCCCAAAAGCCCAACAATGCCCTTCTGGGTCCTGCAGTAATCTACGTCAAGGACACACAGAGTCTCTGTATGTCTGAATAGCGGAGACTCTGGTCCATAATGGTGGGGCATGGGACATCTCTCCAGTTTTCTCAAGTCTTTTGAATCTGTCTGGACAGTCTTTCCACACCAAGGAGCAGGTTGGTAAGGAGGAAAAGAGATGATCCTCCTATTACTGGAGTCTGTCACCCGAAGGACTGTTTTTTCTCATCCTTTCATTGACATCAATGCCAAGGAGCTGGTGAATGACAATGGTGTGCTCCATACAAACTTCTGCCACATGGATTGTGTACAATGGACCTTATCTGGATCTACAGGAGACTTCCTGTTATTTGAATCCTTACATATCATCTCCAGTACAACTAATTATCTCAGGTATCTTTTTCCATGTGTTGCATCTGCTTGGGCACACCACTAGATCATCCATGAGAGAATACCCTTCTCTCACACTTGACAGGAGTCAGCTCCAGAGGGTGAGTTTCTGTCCTCTTCCCAAATCCCCATGAGGATGCCAGTTTCATATTGTAGGCCATGATATTTCAGCATTTCAGCCAGCTCATGCAGGGCTTTCATGACTGGTGGCTGGAATCTTTTCACTTAGCTCACCCAGAGATAGGAACTGAGTGATTATCTCTGGTCCTGCCTCTTCCTCCTTTTGTGAGAGCTCTACTTCCTCCTTATCCCTCACTATGCAAACTGATTCGGTCCTGGATTTCTTCTTCTGTGTGTGACTGTTACTGGCATGAGTTATTCTTCCAGTTCGGCTGCAGTCTGAGTGGTCACACCACCTGTTGATCTGCTTTCTTCCTCTTCCCCTAAGGGTTCTGTCTAGCACTGGATTGTGTCCAAAGAGTAGCCAGGGCCCAGCACACTTCAGTAAGTTGATTCTTCATGGAGTTGCCACAGCATTCTTCTTGCAAATATTCTGACACTTTATCAAGGTCCTGTAGTGATACTCTCAAAACATTGGAGGAGAGAATTTTCCCCAACAATGGTCCATTTTATTCCACATTCCATGCTACTCATGACTATCCTCCCTCAGACAGTTCTGATTAACCTTCCTAAAAATCTTTGTCCTGATTCTAGACACAGTGTTGACTGTACTGACTCAAAACATGGTGTAGACCATGTAGACTGAGACAAAGCTGACACAGGAGCAAGAACATGTTTTCCTTAACATCAAAAGGAAATTAAAAATTCTCAAAAGCTATTCTAACAGGCCTGAAGGAGAAAAGGGTAGTGAAAAGCTGGGGAAAGCTATCCTCCCCTGCTCTCCCCACAGACTAGGTATGATTAGGAATAGCCTCCCAGAGGCAGTGTCCAAGGTAAGGGTAGAAGAGTAGCGCTGAATATCCCAAATGATCCTCATTGCCCTTGATGTTATCATGTCATAAACATGACTCTGGTTCATGCAATCAACATACATCAACAAAGCAATCCTGATCTGAAAAAGAGCACCCTCATGGGCACATAGTACATCTATAGAAACATATACAGGCTTAGGTAACACACTCACACAAACAGAGCAAACAACATTGTGACCATTGGCACACTTACACAATAGACACAAACAACATTGAGACCATTTAGCTCTGAATCTAATAGGACAAATGCTTAGATGAAATTTATTTCCAATCCACTCTGATCACACTGGGTGCCAAGTAAGGCTGTCATGGTTGGATTACTGCAGTTTAGGAATGGTATTCTCCAAGTAAGCATTTCCACTAAAACCACTCCAAACTACACTCACTCACTCACCCCTCTCCCTGCCCTTTCCTGTGGCAGACTGAAGAGGAGAATTGGAGGCACAAAAAGTGAAGATCACAGATTGAGATATGAGCCATTTACTGGAAAACAGCAGTGAGATAAGAAATGAAACAAACAGCAACAATACTACAGTGTGCAAGAGAAACCTTGCTCACCAACAGAAACACCTGATTGCTCCCTCCACCACACTTCCCTGACCTGGAAGCAAGCCCTTCCTCCATGCCCAGAAAATGATGTGAGGTGTCACAGAATAACCTCCATGTCCTAGCTATGCCCCATCTGGGGGCAGAAATCTACCCTGTCCTGAATGGAACCAGAACAGAAAATTAATTATTAGACTATTGAGATTCTCTTTCAGGTAAGAATTTTGCATTCCAGATAGGTATGCTTCACTCTTGGAGAAGGACAAATTCTTCCCAAATTTTCAGTGTCAACCTTCCAAGAAAAAGGCTACAGAATAATTTACATAATCACACCACCATGGTCAACAGCAAATCTACATCAAATTCTCATTTCACGAGACAGTCACAGATCTTATTGTTCTGTACAAAACCCTGAATTGAAAGCAAGTTTCCAACAAGGTCTACCAATTTAAATTACTTAGGATTGCCACTACTATCAAAAGGTTTGTAATTGTCTACATAAAAAGCCTTTTAGACTGTAAGCAAGAGTTGAACCTATAATACATTAATATCTCAAGTCAACTCTCAATCTGCATGCCAAGTCATAATAACAGACTGTAAATTCACAGGGTACTTAATTCCACAAAAAAAACATCAAAGAGATTTCCAGTTCTGAAGCCTGTTTCTCTTTCCAATGCCAAGAATCTTTTTTGAGTGTGTGGGGGCAGAGAGTGGGGGACCTACAGCAGATCAGTGACATACAAAAAAATAACTTAGACAAGTCAATAAAAGACAACTGCACAGCTGTTCAATTCACTGCAATTTAATAACGATCAAAGGTGACACACATTAGGAGACAGCACATGCATTTTTAGAGTTACAACACTAAATGTTTAGTAATTTGTTTCAGGCAACTTCTCTCAGTACAGTTCAAGTCCACCATCATTTCATCACTGGTAAATTTGGAGAGGTAAGATAGTCCATTTCCCTTCCCCTGCTGTCACTATCAGTCTGCAGATTAGGTGACTGGATCAAAATTTACTGCAGGAAACCTGACCTACATACTCAGCTCTGAAAAAAAAAAATCACCCTTGTTCTTATGGTTTGCCAAAATAAGACCTGTGAAGGTTTTTCTTGTCTTCCAAAAAAATCTTAGTGTCTCTAAACAATGCAGGTTACACACAATTATGCCTTAATTATGCCAGAAACTACAATACCCTCTTTCCCAAGCCCACTGGGAATGTCACCTCTGAATGGTGACATGGAACATCAATTTGTCACCTTTTACATGTCACTAAATTTGGAATATACATTCTGTTCTTGCAAAGTGTGTCACCAGATAGGCACCAGATGCTCTGCTTTGCTTCACTGGGAGTGTGAAAGTGAGGACTTTTTAGGGCGGGTTCCCCCCCACCCCTCATTTAAGACTTCTGAAATTTAGGAGCATTTAAATTTTAGTCCTGGCCTCTTTGGAGAAGAAGTGTTTCTAAGATGTTCCCTAATACACAGCATTTGCCCAGATGATTATACCAGTAACAATTGTATTTGAACACAGGTAAGTATACTTTTCTTACTAACTGGAAGGATGATCTACATTTTCAACATTAATTTGATTAACAAAGGATTCACACAATTTAATTTCCACAAAACTAGGCTACTACTCAAAGTGACACACTGCTAGTACATCTCAGAAAGAAACAGAAGACTATAAACAGCACACAGATCAGCAGTTCAGCACAATGAACTGGCAAGCCATTGCTTAGTTAGGATTTGGTGTGATGTGTTCTCTTCTTACTGCAGGTTTTCATTAAGAAATCCTAGAGAATTAAATTACTTTCCATAAAAGCAACAAATCATCAATTACCTCAGATGAGTGATGCAGCTCACTCCAGCAGCAGTCCAGACTCTTAACAGCTCTTTGGCAAGGAAAGCTGTTAACAGTGTCTTTAGTATCTTTCTTTCACTTGCTGTCTTCCCCTTCACACACTTAGCTCCAGTTCCCACTTATTCTCCAGTCCAATAAGGTATCCAAATTTTATGCCTGATAGAGTAAGCCAATTAGCCCCGCTGGCCTGACATGATAGACTAGTTTCTAGTTCATTTTTTTTTCCTAGAAGTCACATCTTGTCCCTGAACATATGTTGTTGTTTATCTTTGCTTATTGGGCCATCTGAAACATCTTCACTTCATTTCTCTTCCCAAGACACTTCCACATCATCTTCTTGAAATTACCTCAGCCTAGATGACTGCAGTTCTTTAGTGGACTGCACAACGAGGAAATAAGAGTATATGAGACCCACCAATTCTTATGGCTAAGGAAATGAAGAATTAATTCCAACATGGGTTTATCATCTATCAACAAAGTACTGTAAATACAGTTTCAACATAGTATTTTTAACTGGTAAGCAGTTACAAAAATTGATTTGTGCTCTTGCCGGCTTCTCACAACACCTTTAATATTAAATATATAAAGCTTGAGACAACAATGCTTAATATGCACCATAAAAGCAAAAACAGAGAATAAAAATAGAGAAAGTATTTTTAAGCATGACATACTCTGTCTCCAAATGCAAAATTTGTTCCAAACCATTAGCAGATTACTTACCTTCAGATTTTTGCAACTCTTCATAAGATATTTTACATCATAGATGACAGGGAAAAACAATCGCAGTATCTCAAAGAAGTCCAGCTCTTCCTCAGGTAAATTGGAGTTTGTCAGGATTTTGATTAGATAGCCAAAGTCATATCCACTGCAAATTAATAACAAAAACAATATAAGTAAGTGACTTAGAAGCATCTTTCTCACTTCAAGATTTCACTGCACTTTAAGAGGAAAAACAACCTTCAGGACATCACTGCACATTGACAGGATATTCTGCTTAAATCCAATGCAATAAAGACTAACTTCTATGAAAAAAAAAACTAAACTTCAATATAAACAGCCCCATTGCAGATTCCAGAGAAAACATTTTAATTTAGTCTGAAAGAGGACAAGTGAAGATGCAAAAAGATCTGCCTACAGTAGTTTCTCTAAATCCCAAAATGAGGTAGGGCTGCTGGGTCTTCATCTGATAACAAGGACTTCTGCCATAAAGACTCCTAAGCTGATTTCTTTCACATAGACTGGAGTTTCTCACTACAAATTGAGACAGACAGACACTTCTACAGTTCTTGAAATCCAAAAGATTAATGAGTTTCCAGAGCGAGTGCATGTTTATGCCTGGAGGCAAGTCAAACCCTCAGCAACAAAGAAGAGGAATTGTCTTTCAACTTCTCCAATTAAATCAGCACACAGACAACTACAAAGTTTAATAGCTTGTAGACTATTACTCTTTCTGGAGGCAATGACAGAGTAAGCTGGAAAAATTTTTGTGTGTACATGTAAGTCTGCAGGAGGCAGAAAGGTAACTAAGCAGTGCTTATTTGTCAGAAGAAATGGTGGTATTGTAGTGAGCACATGGTAGAGAGAAGAGTTTGGGAAGGCTTCCTCCTCCATAGCGTGACTGAATGAAGAGGACACAGGAATGAGGTGTGGCAGTAACGGGGAAACCTCGTACTTTTACAAATAGTTATGAGAGGAAACAAGAGGGTTAAGTACAGGAAAGACAGATATCAGGTATTAAAGCAAGCCTGAACTCCATAACAAAAAGCAGTGATGACAAGTTATGCTTTTTTTAGGAGGGCAGCAATTACAAACCAGATTATTGATGACCTGACCATGAAACTCACCTGTTCTGATCTCTTATACTTGCAGGACTGCTATGCATGAAACTAAATGGAAGAGTGATTTCTTTCTCTTCCATGTTTGCACTGAACCAGATCAGTTCCTAGATTTTACTGATATACAATTTAAAATATGCCTGTACTAACAAAGAAGATGAAAACACACCACAGGGCTGCCTCTACTGAAGGCTTTATCAGTTTTGCTATTTAAGGAACTTTAGTGTAGGGTGAGGGACTATTCAAGTGATCAGGTGGCCACCACAGACTCTAAATTTCCAGTTTAAGACTTTGTGTTCATTCCTGATTACACGAGGGTCATACTCAAAGCCAAGAATTTTTTCAATTTGGTAAATACTGGCCAGGATCTTTAACTGTGAGATAAGCAATAGAGAAGACAAATCAGTTAAGAGCACTATACCACTGATCCTGCAGATGTTTAGGATCCACAAAAAGCAGTGACATCTGTAGGCTCAAAGCTTCAGCTTGCACACTCAATGTAAATAAGTTTACTTTTTGAACCACTTTTATACAATAAGATTATCTCTGACATTGTTATATTATGAGTTTCTAGACAGAGGGTAGAAAAACCTTCAACATACTGGGGGTAAATGTATTGTTTGCTACAAGTCCATTAATACAAGATATAAAATACCTACAGACTATTGCAGCTCTCCCATGGGAGTTTCCAGTGCTCTAAGCAGAAATTTTATGTTGAACAAATCCTGCACTGCATCTGGTACTTTGAAGCTGTGCTGGCCACCCTCCAGTCTCCACAGCAACAGCCACTGGCCAGGGAGCAGAGGAGCCAAAGATAAAGAAGGATTTCAGTTGACTCTTACAAAGTAAAAACTGTAGTAAACTTGGTAAAACAGTAGCTTGGAAGTCTAATTTTATTAGATCATTTGAAGAGGGAGGGAGGGAAGTGGTGGGAAAGCCCATATCAGCATAAAGCCCTCTAAAGAAGAAAAGAAAAAGTCACATTAACAAAAAAGGCTGATCAAAAAGATGCAAAAAACACTGTTCAGGATTATGGAGACTTACTCCTTCAGAGTCTGCAGTTTATTAACTCAATGAATTTCTGACATTGATCATCCTTAAGGGTCAAATGTAACAAGTCATATTAAAGCGAAAGAAACCATATTTGTGCTACTCCTCTTCAAAAAAATGTTTGACTTATCTTCAAAAAAAAGAAGTGTATTAATAAAATAATAGAAAACAGATGCCCTCAAACACTTCTAATTTCTTTAAAGTAGGAAGTACTTAAAGAAAAGTCAACATTCCTTTACTATTCATATTGAGAGGGAGCAGGCTATTAAAAATAGTAATTTTGATTGAGAATTACACATTTTTTTCACTTAGAGATTGTAGCAGATCCAAGCTTACAGACATAAAAACTGTCACTCTAATTTAAGACTAAGATAGATCCACTAAAACAAATTTTGAGTGGCCACTGCTGAATGCTAAGAGAAGGCTAAATATGTCCATGGTGAGCAATTATACAATTACCTGCTCATTAAAGAAGTTTTCTTCTAATCCTGTAACAGTGATTAGTGGTTGGTTTATACCCTGAAGCACACAGACTTCCTTGCCTGAAAAACCTTGCACCATTTCTAATATAATCACCTGAAATTGTTTAGCACAGCAAGCCACAATCTGTGGAGCTATACAACACAAGCACTCACTCTTACAGACATTTGTTTTGTTTTTTTCACTGAACATGGACAGCTCTAGGCAAAAGGACAAGAGTAGACATCAAACATGCCTCCATTTCTTTCCCTTACTATCAAGATAGAATTCAGATAGCCAATTAACAACGAATTCTACTCAATCACCAAACCTCTGAAATAAATCAAAACGTGCAAGAGCTGAGAAAGCTTTAGTTCATTTTATGATGCTAACAGAAATGAACCAACAGATTAAATTTTACTAAAATCAGTTAGACACAAATGATTATTGAAACACATTAGCTTGGAACTTTGCAGTATCCCAAGAACACCTGGTTCTTTTGTTTTCCAAAAAGCATGTTTTCACAGACCCTCCAAAGGTAGACAAAGGAGGTTGCACAGAAGTGAACACTCAAAGCTTCAGCAGCACAGACAGTTGAACATCCACAAAATCAGCATTTGAGCTGCTCCTTCCTAACTTGCTAGACTGTCAAGCACTCACAGCTCTCTTGACTGTGATAAAAAAAAATCACAAATTCAGGGCTTCCTCCTTCTCTCTCATTAACTCAAATACATTTTAACACACACACACACACAAGATTTGATGAAGTTGTCTATGAAGTTGCAATACACAAGAATTGGTGACAGTGCAAATATTTCTTCACTCATATCTGACAGAACTTCATATCCAGAGATTTGCCAACATGTCAGGATGCCAAGGCAGCTACATCAAATGTGGAGATAAAAAGCACACAAAGAGAACTATTTGAGAAGTGAAGAGCTTGCAAATAAACTGCATAAAAGTTTGAGGAAATCAAATACTAGAAAATGAAAACCAAACCATATCTTCATACTCTGAGAAAGGAGTAATTAAATTCTCCCACTTACTATGGGACTCAAATTTGAAGAGCTAGTAGTACTTTAAGCATTTTAAGGTAACAGAGGCAATAGGAGAGTCAGCAACTACCAAGCACAGCTTTATCAGTTGTCAAAGAACTACTGCATGGAGAGCCTAAATGGAACAAATTTTCAACTGAGCATCCTGCTGTGTAAGTTTCCACTGTTAGAACATAATCACAATCAAAGATGTATTTAGAAACAACTGTTCACTATTCTTTGTGGCATGTTTTATATGACCCATGCTCATTTACAGCTTTGCATAATTTTGGTTTCCTTAGAACTTACTCCAAGGTTTTGTGCTCAAAATAATATCAAGGTCTAAAAAAGCACAAAAGCTTTAAACACTCTAATAATCAGTGTCTGACAAACATATGCTGAACAACTGTCTTAAGAGGATTTTTAAAGACACTTTCAGTGAAATCCACAACAGAAATTCATTTTAGCACAGATGAAACTGGACTTCTATTAATAAAGCCATTTCAAAAACCCTTCATAAGCTGCACCAGTAAAAAATGGCATTATTGCACATGGCTTGCACTACACTTTGACCAGCCCATTAGTCAGGAATTACACACACTAAATATAATTACGCTCTAGAAAGAATCCCTAAAGTAGAAATTGCTCAGGTATACCTTATACCAGGCCCTTAGTCACCAGGCAATATTGGAAAAACACCAGTCTGAGGCTGAAGCTGCTTCTGTGTGGCATCCTCTGCTGAGTTACATGCATAACCTGCCCCCTCTTCTCTTGAACCATCCCAGTCATATTACTGTAGTCAAGTGTAAATCATAAATATACACATAAGAGCCCATAATACTGTGCCTAGGAAGTTGAAAAAAACTCTAATTTGGCTTTTGTAGTTATTTTGACCCAATTTAAAGCATTCTTGTTACAGTATTCTTCCCCAAGCTGCTACTCTAGAAACAAGATAGCAAGAGTAAGATTATTTTAGAGTCCTATTGTGAGTTGAAACAGCTGGTAAGTGAAAGATGAAGTGACAACTGCGCTCAGAGGATTCTTCTTTATTTAACTGTCTTTTTTTTTTAAAACCTTTCTGCTTTGGAAACTCAGCCTAGCACTTCTTTGTACAAAACAAATCAAAACCACGACTTCTGCAAAAACGTTACATGCACCCTTCTACTACTGTTACACATTTCTTGCCAAAACAATTCTTATTTTCGACTTTGTTTATTGTATAAATACTTCTCTAAATCCATGTGACTTCTTCTTTTCCAACTATTAATACTTATGGACAAAGAATTTTTTATTCTAATTTCATCATTTACATACCACCCATCAACACAACATGAGAGATACACATTTTAGCTGAGACTGGTTTGCTTACAGTCTTGTTCATTTGCTTTACCTTGCTGACTTCCTCAGAAGCCAGAATTTAAGACACCAACTCAAGGGCATTACATAGCAATAAGCCTTTAAAGACACTGTTGCTTGCAAAAATTCCAAAATGCAGTCAGCTAAACAACTACTGTGTATGTTTTTAAAGTGTTAAATCCTATTAACACTCAAAAATCTTTTGTATTATGACAGACTCATGGAGATTTCGGATTCAGATTTCTATTTCTACTTGAGAGATGATGGAAAAAGTAGCAAAATATATGTGTAAAACTGATGAAGGATCTCCTTCCAAATTGAGTAATTTCATCTGCTCAGATTAGCAGGAGATTTACAACAAATTTAAGAGTGCTTTATAGACCTCTTTACTGATAATTCTCTCCTATAAACAGACAATATTTCCTCAAGGATTGCTCAGAAATAGTTTGCTTTTAGTAATGTTTCTGTTATTACTTGCACGTGTACAGCTCCACCTGCTGGTTTAGCAGTTTCGTGTTTTTCAGCCTCACGGTTTTCTGGTTACTGCATAAACACCCAAGCTAAAAACATCAGTACAACCCCTGTATTCTTCAACACCAATACCCCTCTATTCTTCCAATACAAAATGGTGTTAGAGGTGTTACAGCAGAAATATTTCCTCAGTCTTACCGACCAAGATATGGGCTACATACACAGCATTTAAACTCAAGGGATGTGAAATCCAAGTTCTAGAACTCAAACACCCATCAGATGTTGGAACCTCAAACACTTAACATGCAGAATTTACCTATGAAAGGAAAGCCACTTGACTCCTTCGCACAGTACAACTCCTGATGTCATGAGCAGTTCTGCAAAGTACTGTGTCTCAATTCCTTCTTCTTCGTGCTTTTTAAACTGGATACCAGATGTCGTCAACAGCTCGATAGAGTCCTGAGCATACATATCTTCTCTAAAAACAGAGAGGAAAAGTAAATTTCCAAAACCTACAAGCCTCAATGAGGTAACATTTCTTTTGTGCTATTCATTCCACAGACTAGGAACAATTCAACTTTCTTCTAGGTTAATTACAAAACCAACCATTTTTCAAAGTTTTTTTTTTTTAACTTTCATTGTCACTTTTTTTTAACCTTCATTATCATTTTACCATTCCCAGCACCTCCATTCTTACCATCTTCATAAAAAATTTAGTTCCTGCTCCTTTTCCTTTTATAGGTGGTTACCTATAACCACCCTTTTGCAAGGCTACAGATGAAAGTGCATCTGTAGAACTTATCTGGTAAAATATCAGTATAAATCACTTGAATTGTGACAAATTAAATGTAACAGTTGAAGCAGTAACACATTACATTGCAGAAATATGAGAAATACAATCCAGATCCCAGTACTGAATTAGTTCTGTAGAAAATATTTCTCAGAAGTTTTTTGCGATTTAAGCTTATGCAAATGTTTAGACATCTGTTCATAAGAACTTTTTTTTTCAGTAAAACTGGAAATGGAGTACTTACTCAATTTAGCAAAACCTTAGAATTCAGAGATCCTAACTTTTTCTGTCTAAACTCTTTCTTTCTAAACAATCTGTTTTAACTTTAAAAGCCTATTTTGGACCTAAAATTTAAGAGGATGAAATAAAAATTCCTCTACTTTTTTTTACCCCCTCCTACCTCTGTGTTTATTCCCTCTAATACCACCTTTTTTTTTTTTTTTGGCAATGTGTTAAGAATTTCATGCTGAAATTCATGCTTTGGAGCTTATTTTCTCCCTTAAGTTTTATCTGTATCATCATTACAAAAACATGGAATGGTTAAATGAAGAAAAAAAAAAAGTAAGCATGTAAGTACATTCATTTTACTGTCCACAACATACTATTCCACTAAGTTCCTTCAGTGTACAGTTTCAAATTTTAATAAAAAACAATCAAAACAAAAACACAAGAAAACCTAGACAAGACAACCAATATATCAAACTTGACTATTAGATTCAGTCATAGACTTGTATTCCTTATTCCTAAGAGCAAGTCATCATTCTTTAAAACATAGACACACAACCTCAAGATGTGATACAACTTTGTTCCTCACTCCCACACAGCTGCTCTTTGGTTCTCCAGCTTTGAGGCATCAGCTCCTCAACACCTGTCTATCTCCATAGCACATAAAAGAACCAATCCAAAACAAATGCACCATTTAACAAAAAGGGGGTTTCATTCTAGTTGCTGCACTGTACTAATCAGGTGCATAGTATGATTAGAGAAATATTTATGCTCTTTAAAAGCACACTAAAACAAGACCTGGCTGGAACCACACACACAAAAAAATTACCTTCTAGGAATAACAAACAGCTGTTTTGCTTTAGGAGGAGAACACTTGGCACAGTGCCACTTCCCAAAAGGATGTTTAGAAACAGACAAATAAGTAAGATGTAAAAAACAATATATATAAATATATATATATATATATATATGAATTTCTCATGCAGTACGTACCAAGTTTATATTTTTCTGTAACCCCCACCATCAACTAGTAACAAGGTAATTTGGTGACTACCTGTATTTTGCCTTACTAAGCTGTCTTATCTCTGCAGCATCTGGCACTTATAGATGGAAAGCTACTTTTGGTTTCAGTTGTTTGATATTAAGTAGACCTCTGAAGCTCAGAAAATAAATGAAGTGTAGCACAGGCCCTTCTTCATAGATCAGAGTCTGGAAGTTATTAATTCCTTTTTCTCCCATAATTAGTAGGATTAGTATAGTCTCCTATTTAAGAAAATGGGTAACTTTCATCCCACATTCACATGGCCAGGTAAGTTCAGAGATACCAAAACATTAAATCTGTGCTTACTTTTCCTTCAGGAGACAATTCACACAAGACTAAATAGAGCATGTCATTGCTCAGATCAAGCTGATGTGTGATCCACACCACTGCTTGTTTAGAAGAGCACAGAGATCAAGAGAGGCAGCAGAGGTTTTCCTCCTGCGAACCCCAACTATTTTGAAAACAAGTCTTTTCATCTGCAGAAAAAATAAAGGTCTGATCTCTAAGCCTTCTTTGTGGGCTGTGAATTTAACTCATGTATATGAAGTTGTCCAGTTCTCAACTTGTAACACAACTGCCAAAAACCCCAAGGCTTAAATGTGTGAAAAGCGTTTGTACTGATATTCAATTCAGTAGATAATCAACATGTAAAAATCTATCAGACCAATTAACCAATTACATTTACTTCAGAAAAATCAAAATTAAGATACTAGTAACTTCATCCACCACCAGCTAAAGATATAATTGGAGCACCAGATAAGCTTTTGATCCCCCTGAAAAAGTGAGGTTTATGCTTAAAAAATTTTATCACTGATAAAAATCCCATTTTGAAATAAAGTTTATGGTATTGCTCCAATATAGTAAAAGTCAGCTTGCTTTTTAACCAACAAAATAGACAAAATAACTCAGAATGATAGTATTTGACATACTTTTTTAGCCACTTTACTTTTTTTTTCAAGTGTTGGTATTTTCCATTTAAAGTATGTAAAGAAACAATATGTGATTTCTATAACAAGTAGTAGGAGTTAAACTAAGTTAAGGAAGAAACACTCTGAAATGCTAAACATGAAAACACAGAGCTAACTCTTATGCCAAGTATAAAATGCCTTCCATAATTTTTTTTTAAACTGCTTAGCATTTTTGACCAAATTACCAACAGTAAGACAGACTACACAGAAATGAGGGAAGAAAGCATGTTTGGCTGACAAAAGTTTTCCTTACATGAGTATTTATGGTATTCCATTATTACAATCAGATAGATAATGAAGTTGCTACAGTATTTATACATTTTCAGTAAGTCACAAACATACGTTTAGCAGCACAGATCGAATACTTACGTTAAGTTAAATTTAAAATTAAATTGCCAAGTTGAAGTTCCTGGAGGGTATTCTCCTTGCTCATTCATAAACGTCAGTCCTAGCTGAATTATTTTTAGCAAGTCGACATTGCAGCGTAAGAGTTGGTACTGATAGTCTGCGTTGCTTCTGAATTCTCCAATAGGCCTTGCAACTACTCCTGGGAATTCTGTGTCCTACAAGAGCAGAATTTAAACTTGAACACACACACACCATATAGATCTAATTACATCATAGCTGAAGAGTACTGTGCGTAAAACTAACTTTTAAAAAGATAAAAGATTAGGATCCAGATGTTCATGCAGCTCTAATTCAACATTAAGACTTCCTTATGCTTTCAATTTAAAAGGATGAGCAAGTTTGCTGACCTCAGCTGAAGTCACGATTTTTGCAGTAACTTGCTAGACAGACATCGAGCACCCACTTACCATAGCTACATAGTTATACTTCCGTATAACTTGACGAATTTTCTTCATCTCCTCATCCAAGTTACAAGCCCAAACTTCACAGATTCTTTGGCTATGATCTACGGTAGCTGCTGGCATAGTGGGGGGCTTTAGAGACCATACATCAAAAGTTACACTTGACCGAGGATTGGTTTCATAAAGAGGACCTCAACTGTTTATTTTTTTAGCCTAAGAGAGAAAGAAAGCAAAGCAAGAAAGTGTAAGTTTTTACTCTCAGTTTATCTGAAGAAAAAAAAAGGCTTTAGCACGACATCCACGCTTTATCCTCGTAGTTTCACGAAAGCAGGACAACATAGCCACCATATGCACAGGAATTTCGGCTCCGCGAACTCAGATTACCATCAGAAACTAAACCCCTGCAGTTTCGTTAGCGACTGTTTCCCGCACAAGGGCGGCAAGGCGCACTAGTAACACGGATACCGGAGACACCCGGCTCCCCAGGCGCTCCTGCCCCGCGGCTCGGCGGGGCGCGTTCCTGCGGATCCCTGGGCTGCGTGCAGCAGGGAACGGAGCGGCAGAACAGAGTCACGCCCAACGCGGGGTGCCGCGGGCGGCTTCCCGAGGCGGAAGCAGCTCCCCCGGCTCCCAAGGGCCGCGCTAACCCAGCGAGCGGCGCGCGGAGACCGACACACGGCCGGCCGGGTTCCCGCGCGCGTGAAAGGCCCCGGGAGCGCCCGGAGGGGCTGCAGAGCCCGGGGGTCCTGCAGGGCTCCGCTCCGGTGCCGGTGTCCCCGCCCGGTGCCCGCGGCGCCGCCCCCGCTCACCGCTCGCGCTCCGGCCGGGCCGCGGCGGGTCTGGGAGGCCCCGCGCGGCCCCCGCGAGCCGCAGGAAGCGCTGCTGCCCCCGGCGCCGCCGCCGCGCGCACAAAGCCATTACATCATCGCCGCGCGCCGCGGCCTTTCCCCCCTTCCCTCTGGCCAATCGCCGGCCGCGCCGCCGCTCCCCCCCTCCGCCCCGCCCTTCCGCCGCTCGGGTCGCGGCGCTCGGCGCTGACGCAGCCCCGCCGCCGGCGGCTCCGGGGCGGGGCAGGGGCGGCGGGGCCGCCGTCGCGCGCAGGCGCGCGCGGGCGCTCGGTGAGGTGCGCGCGGTGCCGCGGGTGCGCTCGCGCCCCTCCGGTGCCGCCGCGCGCGCGATGAACTGGCTGTTCCCGCTCGCCAAGGGCGGCGCCGCCCCCGCCTCCGCCGCGCCGCCAGCGCGCACCGGCCTCCAGCAGCAGCGGCAGCGCCAGGTCGAGTCCCTGCGCGCCGCGCACGCCTCGTGAGTGGCCGCGGCGGGCGCGGGGGCGGGAGGGCCGCGCTGTGCCGCCCGTCCCGGGGCCGCAGTGGGGCCGCGCTGCGTCGGTAGCGTGTCGTGTCTCTCTATGTCTCCCGGTTGCGCCCCGTCCCCCCCGTCCCCTCCCTGTGAGGCCTGGCTGGGTCCTCGCGGCCGTGTGGGTAAACAGGGCTCCCGAGCCGGCGGCGCCGCAGCCCGGGCCGGCCCAGCCCCGCGCTGTCCCGGGGCCGAAGGGTCCCGCCGGGTGGGACTGCGGTGCCACGGGGTCCCCGCCGGAGGACAGTGCGATGTGGGACCCCGGCGGGCTGGGAGGAAGAATTCGGAAACTGAAAGTCCCACTGGCTGTCGGGGAGGAGTCCCCGCTGGCTTCGTCGGGGCCTGGCCGGGTGATCGGGCGCAGGTCGCCGTGCCCGGTTTCACTTGCCATTGACCGGAAAGCCTGCTAATGGGTGTAATGTCCGCGGAGTGACGCGACTGCGTCTTGGGATAAAACCTCTCTGGGAGCTGCGTGTAATAGCATAGTTGATTAAAAGTTGAGACTAAAACGTAGAGCACCAAGGAGTTGTGTGGCGCAGTGGCCTGCCAGCAGTTGCACAGTGGCATAGCAGCCCTACTGGCTTTACAAACTGTTTTTCTTGGTGTGCAGTGCTACCTGCTGAAAACTGGCTGCTCCTTAAAAAGTAGTTTTGTTTAGATGGTGAGAAGAGGCCAGTTGTGTTTACTCCTGTTCAAGATCCACAGTTTTAAAGCAAAAGTTTATTCTTATTTATACTCCTTCTTGGCAGTATGCTGCCCTGTTTTGTCTAGTCGTTTAAAACTCCTCACATTTTAAAAGGAGATCCACATTTCATATATTTGAAGTTATAGTTACAGTGAAGTAAGCATTCTACTGACATAGAACTTCCTAGGATTTCTGTAGAACTGAAATGGTAGCTGCCTCCAAAACAATTCAGAAAAAGGACAGAGAATGCTTCCTGTCACATCAGACTGACACTGGGAGTGGAAGAGATACTAGATGCATTTCCAAGTTTAATAACTGCAGGTAGTTTGCTTTCCTAATATTTAGAATTATCACACAGCAAACATAAATATGATGGTATTCTAAGTATTGTTGCTTGAAGCATAAGTCTGTTCAGAGCTAATTTCAGAGATATTTTGGAGACAGTTCACTTTTCTAAGGAGCTGTTCCTGTGGGCATATAGGATCTTAGTTAACTTAAAAGTTTTTGTTAGGCTGGCCTTACTTGGCCTTTTGTTTATATCCACTCTTTAAAAATCTGGCAGTGAGATGAGCTCATCCTGAATTAAGTCCCCAAAAAAGGGATCAGTTTTTGTCAGTCAGCTTGCTGAACTGGTTTGCTACTGTGTGTGCAGGCACCAGCTCAAGCATAGGCAGTGAGGGAATGATGCTGTAGCCAGGAATTGAGGTGAGGGGTAGGGACATGGTAGCTGCCCAAATGTCATTCCGTTATGAGTACTGTTGTTGCTCTTCATCAAAATGCTCAAAATTCTTGGTATGCTGTAGTTAACTAAGTCAAGTTTGGTTTGTGTCATCTTAGGTCATAAAAGCTCAGGTATGTGTGATCTTAGTTTCAGTACAGCACCTAGCTTTCCTGTACACAATCCTTCTCAGGTTAAGAGCTGGACATAAAACCTTTGCATTTAAAAAAGAGGGTTTTGTTGTTCTAGACAAAGTTAAGAGTGTATCATTTTTTTCAGTGTACTCATTCCCACTTGGGAAAGCAACAACTTAGGTTATTAGTTCAAGGTTTTTCCTAAGCAGGGTTATAATTGTTTGAACATTCAAGGAGATTCTGGCTTTCTTGTTCTTCACTCTCTGTCCTAATCTTCCTCCCCAGTTTCCACGTGAGTGGAGTGTAGTTATATACCCTTCTCAAAAGGATTTTGTAGCAGGTTAATGAGAGGTGTGGCAGATGATTACAGGGCAGGAATGTGAGTGAGAGATTCAGGGGAGAATCCTTCAGTTAAGAATGAGAAGGTGCAGCTAGTGGTGTGTGGTGTAACACAGCAGAACCCTTGATTTGAATTGTCCTGTGCTGAAGATATTTGATATTTTCTTCAAACAGCAAGTGATTTCACAGGGAAGGAGCAAATACTGAGTTGTCTATGAGAGGAATAAGATCAGGCTGCACAAAGCAGGATTCATAGTCGAGTTAGTGTCTTACTCCCATTTGTTCCCCAAGCTCTTAAAGACTTTGTTTTGAAGCCTTAAATTCTATGCCCCAGTAGTGCTTTGGAAGGACACAAAGCACTCCCAATACCACTCTTAGCACACATTTGCAGGTAATGTGTTCTGAGTTTTTTGAGAAAGGACTTGTATGGAGTGTACCTGGCAATGGATGGAGGAGAATTTCTGAAGTTGGATCAAAAGATGTTTTCTGGGAGCACCCGTCTGCCATTATTTGCCATTGGAGCTGTGTTCCCTCCCCTCTATAAGGGGAGGTTACAAAGAGCGTTATTAACCAGGTGCAAGCAGGAAAAATACATGGAAGAGCAATCAGTCTGCTTTTACAGTTTGTTTTGATTCATTATAAGAGGAAGCTTGTTTTCTGCCCCTCTGTCTTTTACTCTCAGCTTAGATATGTTCGTATTGTCTAGAAATTCTGCTTCTGAGCTTCACCTCCTCCACATCCTCTGGGATGCTCTCTTTCAAAATAATCTTGCTGTGCATGGAAACTGTAGAATGTTTTGAGTATTGAAATCAACTTCCTAATAATGTAGCTCATTTCAAGATTTTTCCCTCTGTAATTTACCTGTTGCAGGAAAAACAAATTTGAATTTGACCTTACTAGATTTTGTAAGGCTCATCAGTGCTTTCAGGAGGGCCTGGATCTTGAGTCTCACTGGAGCTTTACACTGTTGAATGTAACTCTACTCCAGATAATTCTTGAAAGCTTGTGCAAGTGAGCTTGGTGCACTACTGTTAAATATTAGGCTAATCTGTTAAGGAAGAATGCCTAGTCTAATAAACATTCTCCATATTGATCTGAAGGGAGTGTTGCAGAGCAATGTGAACCTGATATAATGCCTTGGTGAAGTAAATGTTTAATCAGATAAAATTCAGTATATTAAAATAACACTGATGTGTTGTCTTAAATTAAGCCAGTGAGAAAGATAAGTTGAGATTGTTGTCAGAAGCATGAGTATTGTGATTTCTCCTACTATAGTTCCTTTGCTTGTGACCATGTATGAGGTTTAAATGTTAAATCCGCTTTTTTTTTTTTTTTGCTTTAATCTTAATATTCAATATAGAATGCTGAAGACTATTTGCATACTCCAGCATTTTCAATTTTGCTCTTACAGGGCTTTTCAAAACTAAACTGAATACAAATGTCTGAGGTCATGCTTGTTTCTTTTAGACTTTTAGCTGTTATATTGACCATGTAATGGATGCTAACAATTTTTTCTTTGACAGCATTGCGGAAATACAGAAAGATGTGGAATATCGACTGCCATTCACTGTAAACAACTTGACAATTAACATTAACATGTAAGTAGAGTGGGCTGCATCTATGCACATCTTGAAAATTAAAATTGTTCTTAAAAAAAACCCAAAAAAACAAAACCAAACTGGTAATAGAATATAAGCTGTTCCCAGCTCATAATTAATTTCAGGAACCATAACCTGGATTTGTATTAGTGGTTATAGTGATCTGGGTGGAATTGGCTCCATACAAGATACAGATGTTCAGCTGAGAGCAAAATCATATTTTACTGTTCTCAGTTCCTAACATAGCTGTGTGATTTTAGTTGAAGGTAACTAGGGGAAAATGCTTGAGGATTTCTGGTGACTTTGATTCTCTGCCACTGAAAATAAACTTGATTGGTAATTTCTTAGTCTGCTGTAACTCCATACTCTTACCCTGGTGAAGCTTCTGGATCATAACTCAAGTGATTTATTGTAACATTAGCTGTAAATTTACTTTGGGGGGTCACTTTGTTCTGGCAAATGTTGATAGTATTCTGTTCACAAGTTTTATATTACTTTGTCCTGCAGAGTTGGCCTCATATTCTTACAGGCTACACTGCATTGTATTTGTAGTAATAGCATCTGTATTTGAAAATGTTCTTGTTATGCTACAGCTTCTTTGTTGTCTATTAGTTTGTCAGACCATGTGCTAATAACACCAAGGCTGCAGGTTCAGTGCCTGTATGGGCCATGCACTTAAGAGCTGGACTCAGTGATCCTTGTGGGTCCTTTCCAACTCAGAATATTCTGTGATAATTGCTCCTTTGTTATACTACAATTTTGCCCAGTAAATGCTCTCTTCAGTTCTGTGGAAGTCTGGTACTCCAATCTGTTGAACTTTGAATTTTGTAACTGAATAATCCTTTTGTATGCTTCAGTCATTGCGTACTTGTCCATAGCAGTTCTCATAGAAAAGTATGTTTATGTAATGAATAGTACT